ACCCTGCAGGCAGGTGCAAGGTCCTGCTGGCACAGTACTGAGCGGGCATCCAGGGGGCAGAGCACCCCTTCTCGCTCAGGACCCTCCTGTGGCTACCACAGTGGTGGCAAGGGGGAAGGACTGGAGGCATCCAGGGCTCGGAGCGCACCCAACTCGTTGCACTTTCATCACCTCCTGCCCAGATGAGCCAACACTGCATGTCTAATGATTCACCCGCAAAAGCTTCCCAGGGTGGTCAGGGCTCTTTGCCCCCAAGGATTCTGCAAGGTTTAAAATGAAAACATTCCCTCTCCGCAGCCCTGTTGCTCAAGGTGGTCTCTCTGCAGGGCAAGAAAGGAGCCTGAAGGGCCTCCAGCCTTTCACCCCAGCAGGATGGGGAGAAGAGCCTGGGGTCTGGGAGAGCTGGAGGGGGACCAGGGCAGGGCATGATCAAGCATCACTGTGAAGCATGAACAGGCACAGAGAGATCAAACTGGAGGCCAAGTAAGATACAAGATCCCAGCAGCAGCCACAAGCTGAGGCCTTGGTGGCCCTGGCAGCAGGCATGCGGGACAGGCTGCCGGGCTCCTCCACCGGCCCTGGCTGCCACCTTTTTCCCCCCGCCTCAGGGAAAGGGGACTTTACCCCTGGTTTGCAAACACGGGCATCATGCCTGGGAACAGATTGGTTCGCTCTCCAGACACCTTCCCAAAATAACCCCTGTGGCTAGATGCCCAGGTCAGCACCTCGGCCATAGTCTGAGGGAGACCCAGCAGGCTGCCGGGCTCCTCCACCGGCCCTGGCTGCCACCTTTTTCCCCCCGCCTCAGGGAAAGGGGACTTTACCCCTGGTTTGCAAACACGGGCATCATGCCTGGGAACAGATTGGTTCGCTCTCCAGACACCTTCCCAAAATAACCCCTGTGGCTAGATGCCCAGGTCAGCACCTCGGCCATAGTCTGAGGGAGACCCAGCACAGGCACTGGGCAGAGAAGCATCCCCACGGAGCTGCTGCACCCCAGGTCTGGCTGCAGAGCAGCCACCAGACCCCATGGATGCAGTAAGGACAGGCCTAGATGGTCTTTAGCAAAATCTATCATTTTATTTATTTACACAGTCAACAATAAATAGAAAGCCAGGCTGCAGGAGGCCTGGAAGTGGAAGGGACACATCCAGAGCCAGGGACAGTCCTGGAGCCAAGCAGAGCCCAAGCCACATGGCACAGCAAGGGTGGGAGAAGACAGGAGGAGACCGTGATGAGGGTCCAAGCCCCCAGACCAGGGGCAGACCTGAGCCCTGCCACCATGGCAAGTCAAAGAGGGGAAGGGAGGGGACCGCAGAGAAGGCAGAGGGCAGCACCCTGCATGGGCAGCCACCTGGTCCCCAGCACCTGGGGTCACCCCTTCACCAGGTCCCTCCAGTTTCCACAGTCCCCAAAGGGGGAACTGCAGAGGAGCAGAGGGTTTTCCCACCCCACTCCCCTGCAACCTCAGCCCCATCCCCAGCCCAGTGAGGTCCGGACACTGCCAGGACTAGACACTTTGGGATACCGGTGAGCTAGGAAGGAGCACCGCTGGCATGGGTGGCCAACGGGGCAGGAAAGGATTGTGGGCAGCCAGTGCTGGCTTGAGGACAAGCATGGGGACAGGCTGAAGGGACATGGGAGAGCCCAGCCCACACAGAGCTCTCCCTCCCTGCTCCAGCAGGAGAGGCCCAGCCGGCACCGAGAGCTTTGCGCTCTGGTCCTGGGACCCAGCTCTTCTCCAAAAGCATCAGGCCGGGACCTTGGGCCGATGCCCTCCCCAAAGCAGGCAGCAACCGCAGGGTCCCAGGGCAATAGCCCTGGCATGGGGCCCAGCAGGCTCCTGCCTTTAAAAACCTCACAATTCACATAAAAAGCTACTGTAAAACTTGCCCGACGAGCGCCACACTGACACGGGGGACGGCCACAGGACAGTCCAGTCCACCGGAGGAAAAAGCAATGTGAGCCCTCTAAAAAGTCCAGAGACAGCAGGCACGCAGGGCAGCAGAGCATCGGTGGCCGTGAGCATTACCGGCATGTGCAGGACTCTGCGATCATGTTCTCGTACTCCTTGTAGAGGATGCCGCCGTTGTGCTCGATCATGAGGACGCTGATGGGGCTGTAGCGGTAGGGCACGCAGGAGGGCCGGGGCACGCTGGCATCCACCAACTGGTGCACCAAGTTCTGCACCACGGCGTGGTTGGGCGCGTGGTAGCCGTAGCGGAGCAGCCGGGGGCCAG